TTCATCCCAATTGGTTTTTGACGGTCACGGGGACCGAGCTGCTAGGGTGTTTTTTCGGATCTCTGGTCGCTCTAAGTGCGTGTCTGTGGTGTATGTCAATATGTTGGTTCCCCTTTTCTGGTCAAGGACTGACGCTTCGGCCTCTGGACCCTTTTCATCTGTCGGCGGCGAAATCCCAAAGTGCATATCCGGCGGTTCTGGGCCGTGTGTTTGGGATCGCGGTTAGTCCTTATACTTGCACCAACAACGCTCTTATAGGTAGTTTTCTCGGAGCGCCGACGAACCATAGAACCTCAATAACTCGAACTCGAATTGCCACACTGCATGCGGGGCAGCCCGACAAGAGTAGGGCATCCAACACGCCAACATAACACCAACATAACAACAAACTGCAGCAACACCCTTCGACGTATACTACTAGAAGATTGGTTGGCGCGTCTACTGTATATAATACCTGGACGTGCTCGGATATGTCGTGTAGTATATGCATTACACCATTTCCAATGCCGACGGACAGCTACTTAGCATACAAGTGTAGATGCCCCATAGGTTCACCGAACCACAAGGCACACACTTAGGAACCATGATGACCAATTAGCCTGGCGAGGGACCCAACCATATGCAATTGTGAGTGCCGCAGTCGTGAGTATCGTCTTACATCGTCTTCGGTGGAGCTGCATGTGGGGGCGCGAACCGTGCGAGGGGTGTGCCAAAGTGGGATGGCGGCGGCACGCGGGCGCTGCCGCTGGGGCCGTCGGTGGAGCACCCTATAGGGCCACGGGACGTGTGAGGGGTGCGCCGAAATGGAGGTTGAACTGCAAGCGGACCCTGCCGCTGGGGCCTTCGGTGGAGCACCCTATGGGGCTACGAAACGTGTGAGCGGTGCGCCGAAATGGAGGTGGACCTGCATGCAGACCATGCCACTGGGGCCCTCGGTGGAACACTGTGAGGGGTACGCCGACATGGGGGTGGAACTGCATGCGGACCCTGCCACTGGGGCCCTCGGTGGAACACCCTATGCGGGCACGAAACGTGTGAGGGGCGTGCCGACATGAAAGTGTGACTGCATGCGGACCCTGTCATTGGGGCCTTCGGTTGAGCACCCAACAAAACCACGAAACGTGCGGGGGGTGCACCGATACGGGAGTGGAACTGCACGCAGACCCTGCTACTGGCGCCTTCGGTGGAGCAGCCTAGAAGGGCCACTAAATGTGTGAGGGGTGCGCCAAAATGGAATGCGGCCACGAATCGAGTGAGGGATGCGCCGACATTGAAGTGGAACTACATGCGGACCCTGTCACTAGGGCCTTCTGTGGAACACCCCATGGGGGTGCGCCGAAATGGAGGTGGAACTGCAGGCAGACGCTGCCACTGGGGCCTTCGATGGAGAACCCTACGGGGCCACGAACGTGTGAAGGGTGCGCCGACATGGAGGTGGAACTGCATGCGGACCAAGCCACTGGGGCCTTCGGTGGAGCGCCCTATGAAAGACATGCGGAGACCAAGGCACGGATGGGAGGAGGGAGGAGGGGGAGGAAAAGAGGAGAGGGCAGCAGGAGGGAGAAGGTGACGCGGGGCTCCGTCTCTTCAGCACGAGGACCCAACACCACAGGATGGTTGATAATGGTATATAAGTCTACCAATAACAACAATTTACGCAACTGTGCACTTGTATCGTTGCTGGAGCACTGGTTACTCAATCTCTGGAGGGCTTTATCATATTAGACTCATAACAGATAAGTGTAGGTAGGCATGCCACCAAACAAAGCTCGCCAAACACATCACAACATACATTCACATCCCATAATACGTACTACTGGTGTACATGTATGAACGAATATGACCATCACGGAACCGCTTGCGTGCGTGATGGCTCAAGATGGCTCACATGATCGATCACTCGAATGTTTGAACATCTTAGAAATATCGCAAACATATATCCACACAAGCTTGGCGAAAGACCCGCCCATTTGCATTTGTGAGAACCGCAATGTTAAATCTCGTCTTTGGTGGAGCTCCCTTTGGAGCCACACAACGTGTGAGTGGTGTGTTGATGAAGAGCGGGGGAGAGGCATGTGGGCCCTGCCACTGAGGCCTTCGGTGGAACTCCCTATGGGGCCACGACACGTGTGAGGGGTGTGCTGAAATGAGTGGTGGGGAGGCATGCGGGCTGCGCCTTTGGGGCCTTCGGTGGAGCTCCCTAGGGGGCAACGGAACGCGTGAGGGGTGTGCCGAAACGGGGGTGACGCACACATGCGAACGGTGCCACTGAGGCCTTGGCTGGAGCTCCCTATGGGGTGGGGGCCTCGAAGCATGTGAGGGGTGTGCCGAAACGGGGGTGACGCCCGACGCCCACATACGAACGGTGCCACTAGGGCCTTCGGTGGAACTCCCTATGGCGCCACAAAACGTGCGAGAGGTGTGCCGGAACGGGGGTGACGCTCATATGCGAACGGTGCCACTTCGGCCTTAGCTGGAGCTCCCTAAGGTGCCGCGAAACGTGTGAGGGGTGTGCCGAAACGGGGGTGGCTCCCACATGCGAACGGTGCCACTGGGACCTTAGCTTCAGCTCTCTATGAGGCCACGACACGAGTGAGGGGTGTGCCGAAAGCGGGGTGACGCCCACATGCGAACGGTGCTACTGGGGCCTTAGCTGGAGCTCCCTATGGGGCCACGAAACGTGTGAGGAGTGAGCCGAAACAAAGGTGACGCCCACATGCAAACGATGCCACTGGGACCTTAGCTTGAGCTCCCCATGGGGCCTCGAAACGTGTGAGGGGTGTGCTGAACTGGGATGGCGGCGGCACGCGAGCGCTGCCGCTGGGGCCTTCGGTGAAGCTCCTTATAGGGCCACGAAACGTGTGAGGTGTGCGTTTAATTGCAATTGGACCCTGCAACTGGGGCCTTCGGTGGAGCACCCTCTGGGCCACGAAACGTGTGAAGGGTATACCGAAACGAGGGGGACGCCCACATGCGAACGGTGCCACTGGGGCCCACTGGGGCTGAGCTGGAGCTCCCTGTGGGGCCACGAAACGTGTGAGGGGTGTTCCGAAACGACGGTGACGCCCACATGCGAACGGTGCCACTGGGGCCTTGGCTGGAGCTCCCGATGGGGGGGGCCTTGAAGCATGTGAGGGGTGTGCCGAAACGGGGGTGACGCCCACATGCGAACGGTGCCACTGGGGCCTTCGGTGGAACTCCCTATGGGGCCACAAAACGAATGAGAGGTGTGCTGGAACGGGGGTGACGCTCATATGCGAACGGTGCCACTTGGGCCTTAGCTGGAGCTCCCTATGGTGCCACGAAACGTGTGAGGGGTGTGCCGAAACGGGGGTGACTCCCACATGCGAACGGTGCCACTGGGACCTTCGCTTCAGCTCTCTATGGGGCCACGACAGTGAGGGGTGTGCCGAAGCTGATGGCCGATGACGAAACGTGGGAGGAGTGGGGGAGGAAGGAAAGGACGAACGCGGGGCGCTGTCTCTTCAAAACGAGGACCCAAGACCACAAGATGGTTGGGAAATGCTGCAATCGATTGCCACATGTTACACACAGAAAATCACATCACTCGTGCTAGAATGCCCAGAGACCGACCATAATGATTATACTTTAACTGCTATAACTATCAAGTGCTGCACTTCCATGTCTTCTTTTTTAAAAAGAGCAACCGTGACACACACAATCCAATCGCATGGCAAATACTTGAATAATAACCTTAATACTATAGAAGATGACACAACCGCACACTTACATCATTACCACATGTCGATCTCTCAATCTGTGGTACACTTCCAAATCTTACACACAACAACTCAGACGGCTGTCGTGTATAATGCTAGATGCTTACTCGGGAATCTCACACAATACACTAGTACGTGCCAACGTAATTATATGAATGAGCCCGATACTGACATAACCGCTCGTGTGTAGTATCCAATGGTGGATCGCTCACATGTTAAACATCCTCACACGATGCCAGAAACATATGCATAATGCTCCGCCATGGTACTACAGACTATAGAAGAAACTGAACCAGTAACGATATATGATTTCTATGAATAATCGCGATGTAATCGCGATGAGTACTCAACCTTGCGTTTGCATAGTTACTCAGATGGTCGACAACTCAATGTTCACAAGCACCTCGAAAAATTACTGATAATCCTTCGGAATGTTGCAATATGTTATCAAGAAATTTTGGTCAAAAAACCAAGCCAAACTAACATCCAATGAGAACTACTAATAATACATGCTTTGATTACCAAACCTGGCACTTGCACGATGATTACAAAACGATCGCTCAATTGTTGAAAACCTCAAAACCTTGCGGCAATTCTGTCAAATACAACAACACCTACAACGTATTACCAACTATCATGACAGAGAACTAATAAACCGTAAGTAGACCACCGAGATAAAAATACGAATCGGTATGGTGATTACCAAACCTGATACTTGCACGACTACTCAACCAATCGTTTGAAAAACCTTGACAATACGGACAAGTATTCAGACTGATGTCAAATATTGCCGAATATTCTGAGCGGAGCGCCGTAAAGCATAATCCGATACAGTAAGAAATGCAGACACAAATCTATTACTAATTCAGCGAAATACAATATCTGATACCTACACGACTACTTACACGATTACTAAAAACGATCATCTACGATCGTTATGGACACTCTGAAAAGGGAGACGTCAATCATCCGTCTGTGTACCTGGTTTCAAATTGTTCATTCGATAAATATGTGCACATGTGTATGCATTCATTTAAACTGGAACAAATTAACACAAGCCGATACACATCAAGTGCTCCCGAAGTTCAGCAGAAACGAGCCGGATCCAGCGTGCCCCAAACGGAGCCGAACCGGACCAGAACTTCTCTGTTTTGATTATTGCCTGAACTCTCATCGTGACTCTCTAGGTCGGGGGGAGAGCGAGGGAGGGACCGAGGAGGAGATCGGCGGACCAGGAACGCTCCGGTGGCCGCGCGGGTCCTGCGCCCGGCCGCCTCCGCGGGGCAGCACCTTGCCCTCCGCCGGCGTCGCGGTGGTGAAGGGCTTCCTGCCGGGGCCGCCAGGGGCATCGCAGCTGGCCTCCGACGGACCCGCGGAGGGCGCTTGGAGGCTGCTGAAGGCTTCTGCTCAGGAGGGCCTCATGGGAGGCCTTCGAAGACCTCCAGAGGTTTTTGGAGGCCTCTGGAGGGCTCAGCGGGGCTCGATTCACAATCGGTTCGCCATTGGGCCGCAGCTGATTCGCAGCCTGCTCACGACTGGTTCGCGTCCAGATCGCAGCTTGCGCGCAGGAAATCCTCTCTCTCTCTCTCTCTCGCTTCGCAAATCCCACAGGAATCCCTATACATTCACACTGCGATACCACGTACGGCGTAACGAATGAACAAGGCACACTAGCTCCGCCAGCCCTATGGGCTGTTGCTCTCGCGCGCAGCTTCGCGCGCAGCTTCGCGCGCACGTCATGCACGACTGGAATCACTCAACGACCATGTTCTGATGGTCGGCTTGACATATGCTTTCAACGGACATGCAAAGTGAGCCTGCTACATGGACCCAAGACTCCAACAACGGACATGCAGCATAGTCCTGTAGCGGAGATAGATGTCCCCCAGCTAGCTCATATCCTCAAGCATGGTGGTAAGTGTGCGTGGCTGGGCATCTGAATACGCTGGCATCGCCACTCGCGCGCCTAATAGTATGCGTGCGGACCAGGCAGGGCAAGTGCATGTACACATCGAGCCCACGAACCAGGAAGAACGACAAATCAACTTTCGCACGGAAATGCTCAAGTCCCTCACAAATCGACACAAACAACTCATCCAGCACACAAATACTCACCCCCTGCTGAGAAACGAACAAATACCGCTTAAATCGAATCAGACCACCCGGCTGGAACGACGAACTGAAGAACACTTCACTCCATGCTACTCGCTTGGTTTTGAAGAAAGAACAAAATGCCTGTCAGTCTGTCAGTCTGTCTATGTGTCTGTGCGTCTGTGTGTCTGTATGTCTGTGTGCCTCTCTCTCCATCTCTCTCTCTCTCTCTCTCCCTCTCTCTCTCTCTCTTTCTGAATTTTCTCTCGTGTGTATTCACATACGTACAAGACTGCATTGGCGCTTCATGCCGCGCACCTTCGTCCTTCAAGGTTTGCCCACAGGCGGAATGACGAAGATACAGAGAAATAGGAGAGACAGAGGGAGATAAAAAAATAAAGAGAGAGAGAGAGCATACATCCCCAGGACGATTTGTTCCTCTTGGGCCCTGAACGACGGTGTAAAATTTTGAGCAGACGCGTATGAGATAACCACCGTCGAATCCAATGAAGCTCACGCGGATGCAATTTTGGTTTTGGTTTCTGTCTCGGTGGATCACGTTGCCGTCTGCGCAGATCCGATTTCAGACCCTAGAGATCCCCACCCGGTCCTATTTGTTACGGCGGATCCGATTTCTACCCCATTCTGGATTTATGTCGTAAAAAAGGGAGCTGGAAGAAATCGGATCCGCGGACCCTGGAACCCGCCTGTGTTAAGATTTTACGGGGCGAGGGGGGGTCGGTCATCAACTTTCCCGGATGGGTTCTGCGCTGTCTCGCGCACTCCCATATAAACTTTCCGCGCGCGCGGGCCCCACTCAACATGAATGCACCTCTCCCCTCCAGGTTGCTGCGCGCAGCTTGTCCAGGCGCCATCCGTTCGGCGGCGCCGATGTTATCTTGTGAACTCCTCATCGCCATCTTCACTTCAAGAGGAAAATCTGTCGTCATGCGTAAGTATTGCTGTCACCGTTTTCGTCATCGTCATTTCCTTCCTTCTCCTTGCTCTCCCTTCCCTCCTAGTCTTTCCTCCTCTTCCCCGTTCTCGCCATTCCTCGCTCTCTCGAGGGCCTTCCGAACGCTTCTCGTGGGTCTCTGGGGGCCTCTGACGGCGTCTTGGGGCCCTCTTGCTGCCAGCGGCCAGACCGACACCAGACCGCTCGGGAGCTCCCGAGCGAAGCGACCCCCACCCTCCCCCTCAGAAATCGTGGGGGGTAGAGGTAGGGTTCGCATGACCCCCAAGACATTCCGGGGAAATGCAGAACACCCCGCCCCAAAACGGGACTCCCTGGATCCGTGGCCTGGGGGCCCCCTGTAGGGGGCCACATGCGAACCCTACCCCTACCCCCCACGATTTCTGACGGGGAGGGTGGGGTAGGGTTCGCATGAGGCCCTGGGGGCCCCCTTGGACGCCCCCGCAGAAAGCCCCCCGAGCTTTCCGCTTCTCCTGGACACCCCTGCCGGGCCTAATGGGCAGACGGCCCAGATCGGTCCGGAGGGCGGCCGAACGGCTCAGCGACCCCCACCCCACGGAGGCACCGGAAGCACAGCAGACAGTGAATTCTCAATCGACTTTTCTGTACTGTTGGGGGTGTTCGGTCTTTCGGTTTCCTGGGCAACAACACCGCCAACAAGAACTGGAATGACTATGCAAGACTGCTTCCAGACGGCCGAGAACAGCCCCAAGGCGGCCCGAGAGGGCCCCAGCGCAGCCCGAAGCGAGCCCCACGACGGCCCAAGATGGCCCCGAGACGCCACCCGAAGCACTCCAAAACGTGACCCAGTCGTTGAAGGAGACCGCGTTTGGAAGCAGGATGGGCCGAAGAAGCCACCGGGGGACCGCAGCCACCAGAAGGTCTCAAGAAGCCCTCAAATATTTTCGCGAGGCCCCCAAGATGCTCTCGAAGGAGGCTCCGCAAACAAAAAGCTGAGGATGGGAAAAAGTTCGAATGGTAAGGCGAGAATAAGGATAAGAAAAAAGAGGCATGAGGGAAGAACAACCCGTTATCGTTGTATGCACTGTGCTTCCTCTCCTTCCGCCTGCATGGAAAACCTGGAGGACTAAGGTGCACGGCGCGAAGCGTCAATGCAGTCTTGTACATTGGCATGTGTATTGGAGATACAGGTGGCGGAAACAATAAAGCAACACTCACGCGTAATACATATAGATATGTATACATATACATGGTTTGAACGCCCCCCCTCCCCCCGAATGCAATGTTGATTATGGATACTCCGAGTTTGAGTGTCCGAGCGGTGATGCTTAACCGTGCCAACTTCGCCTTGCGGGGGAGGGTGGAAGTGTTGCTTATTCGTTTCCCTCAACCATAGGTATTACACACATGGCGCGTTGCATACAGGTGAAGTATCGGAGGTGAGGGGGTGAGATCGAAGTGGAACGGAGAGCCCCCCTTCCGGGAAATCGGTTTCGGTTTCGTGTTCGTGCGTGCCGTGCGTGCGAGGCGAAGCTGCGTGGGCGGGCGAGAGGAAAGTCTCCTGTGGCTGAAGCGCGGCTGGACCAAATGATTCCCTTCCGGCAACCGGTGCCGCGCGGTGTCCCGCCGGTGTCCCGCCTCCGGCTGAGGCGCGGCCGGACCAAATGATTCCCTTCCGGCGTCCGGTGCCGCGCGGTGTCCCGCCGGTGTCCCGGTCCCGTCGGTGTCCCGACGATGATGATGATGATGATGATGATGATGATGATGATGATGATGATGCTGATGATGATGATGATGATGATGTCGATGATGTTGATGATAATGATGACGATGATGATGGTGGTGATGATGATAGTGCCCCGGTGATGATGATGATAATGATGATGATGATGATGATGATGATGTTGACGACGTTGATGATGATGATGATGGTGCTGATGATGGCCATGGTGGTGATGATGATAGTGCCCCGGTGATGATGATGATAATGATGATGATGATGATGATGTTGACGACGTTGATGATGATGATGATGGTGCTGATGATGGCCATGGTGGTGATGATGATGGTGTCCCGATGATGATGCTGATGATGCTGATGTTGCTGATGTTGATGATGATGGTGTCCAGATGATGATGATGATGCTGATGTTGCTGATGTTGATGATGATGGTGTCCAGATGATGATGATGATGATGATGATGATGATGATGTTAATGATCCTGATCATCTTGCTGATGATGAGATGATGAAATGATGATGATGCGGATGATGATGATGATGATGAAGATGATGGTGGTGTCCCGATGATGATAGTGATGATGAGGTTGATGATGGTGATGTAAATGATGATGGTGATGATGATGATGGTGTCCCGATGATGATGATGATGATGACGATGATGGTGTCCCGATGATGATGATGTTGATGATGAGGATGATGATGAGGTGATGATGATGAGTTTGATGATGGTGGCCCGATGATGATGCTGATGTCGATGGTGATGGTGTCCTGATGATGATGATGGTGATGATGATGATGATGGTGACGATGATGATGGTGTCCCGATAATGATGATGATGTTGATGATGTTGTTCACGATGGTGATGATGAGGTGATGATGATGGTGATGGTGGCGTTCCGATGCTGATGATGATGGTGTCCTGATGAGGATGATGTTGATGATGATAATGATGGTGACGATGTTGGTGATCCTGATGATGTTGCTGATGATGAGATGATGAAATGATGATGCGAATGATGATGATGATGATAATGGTGCCCCGATGATGACGATGATGTTGATGACGTTGATGACGATGATGTTGATGATGATGATGATGATGATGATGATGGTGACGTTGATTGTGAGATCGATCGTGATATCGATAGTGAGACCGATAGTGAGACTGAATGCGAGATCGATCGTGAGATCGATACTGAGATCGATAGTGAGATCGATTGTGAGATCGATAGTCAGATCGATTGTGAGATCGATCGAATGAAATAGATCGAGTGAGATCGATTGTGAGATCGATCGAGTGAGGTCGGTCGAGCGAGACGATCGTGAGATCAATAGTGAGGTCGATAGTGAGACCGATCGAGTGAGACGTTGGTTCCTCCCCCCCGAACCTCCTTATCACCCGAAGGGTGGTCGTATAGGTAAGCGCATATATATATATATGTATACACATGCATCGGCGCTACGAAAATTGTGACCCGTTTCGTGTTTCCACCAGGGCACGCCTTAGGCGGGAGCGCCGTTACGAATTAGAGCTGAAGAAGTGCCGACATTTCGTTCCGAGGAAGTCCTGTACGAGGCCGCCATGTCGAAATCGAACCAGAGGGTGTCAAATTCCAATGTCCAGGGAGTCCTGGACGGGAGCTCCATTTCGAAATCGAACCAGGCAGACTCTGAATTTTGTTTCGGGAGGAGTCCTGCGCGGGAGCGCCAATTCGAAATCGAACCAGAAAGGTTTCAAATTCAAGTTTGGAGGAAGTCTTGGGCGGGAGTGCCATTTCAAAATCGAACGCGAAAGTTTCGAAATCGTCCGAAGTTGCTTTGGCGGGCGTGGTGTCCCAAGCCCGGTGGCGGCGTGGCGAGAATGTTTTGGTGGCCCTGTGAAGAGAAGAACAAGTCAATTTCGTCGCCCTGGCGAGATGCGCGGAAGGGTGCTGCGCGCTACAGTTATGTCGGGCCAGGGGGACTTTCGACGAAAAATACCAACTACCCCAAAAATAATCAAAAAATAATCCAAAAATAGTCTGGGGACTATTTTTTGAATATTTTTTGTCATTTTTGGAATATTTTTGGGGTATTTTTATGTTTTCGTCGAAAATCCTCCTGTGGGGGGACAGGCTCGACTTAACGCTGCAGTGAAGATGCCCTGCGTGTGCTGCGCCCCCCACAGATTCTCGCAGAGATCGCGCGCCCGAGCGCCCGAGATGCAGTGCCCTGGATTTCGCCTGGCGGCGCTCCGAGGGCCGGGGGGCGACGTGCTCCGCCTCATCTCCTCCTCCTCCTCCTCCTCCTCCTCCTCCTCTCCCCTCCCCTCTCCTCTCCTCTCCTCTCCTCTCCTCTCCCCTCCTCTCCCTCCCCTCCCCCGCATTCGCCCCCCCCCCTCCCCGCAGTTTCAAAGTTGGGTTCGGCCTCTCGGAGGCCCTGGGGGTTCCACTTTTTTTTTGTCCTCTCGCGCCTGTGCTGCCAGATGCCTGAGGCCAACTCTGAAATTGGGGGGAGGGGGGGGCGTGGTGTCAAGGGTTCCACTTTGTTGTCCATCTACGGTCCCTCCCCTCCCCTCTGCCACCCCCCTGGGCCCCGAGAAAATGGACAGGGGAGCTCCAAGGGAGTGCGCACCGTGGCAGGCAGTGCAAACGAAGTAAAAACAAACGCAACAACACACACATACACAAAAAAAACATCAAAACACCGGGCTTGCGACACCACGCCCGGCATTGCTTTGTTGAAGAAATCTCAAGCGAAACCGTCGTTTCTAAGTGGCCACACCGCTTGGCCGCTTGGCATGTAAAATTTGAATTTCTGACCGGATATCTCGAAAGTGTGGCTTTCGCTTGAGACTTCCTCCAAAAAGCTATCTCGACTGGATTTCGAAACCATCGGGTTCCAACTCGAAAGGGCAGTTCCGCCCGAGACTTGAGCAAAACAGTGAATGAACAGAACATTGTACTGGGGCCACGCGGCCTAACGGGCCTCTTTGACGTCTCTCCTGTCGTGGGCGCAACGCCACTGACAACGTTGTACCGGGGCCCCGTCGCCTTACGAGAGGTGCTGCATGTTGGCCGAACTGTCGTAACGGCGGGATATATACCCATAGCTCAAGAAAGCCAGCGGCGGCGTTCAGTAGCCGACCGTGCAAATCAGAAGAGAGACAAATCAGGTCCACACAAGCTGTCTCGGCCTGGTGGCGCATTTGGAAAGGCGATGTGTGGCAGTAGTAGCGGTGGCTGCACAGCCGTGCCGAACGTTGAGCCTAAAAATGATGGAGGGAGAGGGGGAGGGGGAGGGGGAGGAGGAGGAGGAGGAGGAGGAGGAGGAGGAGGAGGAGGAGGAGGAGGAGGAGGAGAAGGAGGAGGCACGCCCAGACGGAAGACCTACTGTAGGATGAGCCTGGGAGGGACAACGACAGCAAGGAGGAAGAGAACGACGAGGGGTGAGGAGGGGTGAGGAGGACGGCGACTACAGCGAGGAGGACGAGGATGGCGGCAAGCAGCAGAGCTGGGCGGCCCCACCGCCCAAGAGCGGCCAAAGCTCCTGTCGCTCGGCAGCGGGCCGTATGCACTCCGCGAAGACGGCGACTGCACCTTCCCCATGCCGCCGCCCCGCGCCGCCCCCCCTCTCTTCCCGAGCGAGGAAGAAAACAGCGCGCGGGGGGGGGGCGGGCGACTGGTGCGTTCCCCGTAAGAAGGGTTCGTTCGCCGGTGCAAGCGTTCGCTCCCTGGCAGAAGCTGGAACAACTGCGGCGAGCTCGTTCCCTGGCAGGAAAGAACACATACTGTGTATATGTGCGTCTACGCAGTCTCGACTGCGGGGGCTCTGATGTGTTGGAAGACCAGTGGGCAACGGGACGCCCTACGGGCACTCGCGTCGCCTCGGCACCTACGATGGCGTGTGGTCGCCCAACCCAGGTGACCCGCATGCATTCTCCACCAGTCTGCGCACCAGTTAGGTGCTCCCGTCTACCTGGCTACGTTGATGACCGCGGTGTGCCTTCCAACCCAGGAGGCTCCCGCACCTTTCTTTCACCAGTCTGCGCGCCAGTCTGGTGCTTCCCGTATTACCTGCTTCCGCCGCCGCCGGTCGCGGTGCACCTCCCAACCCAGAAGAACACCGGCCCTTGCTCTTCCACCAGTCACCGCACCTGTTAGGTGCTTCCCCACTGCCTACCTGGCCGCGCACCAGTGAGGAGTTTTCCCTGCCGCGCCCCTCTCATTGGCGCGCCCGCCGCTCGGGCCCCTGCGCGCCGTCCAAAATCAGGCGGTGCGCGGCGATGCATGGCCGGCCACCCCCCCTTCGCTGCTCGGCACCTGGCCCCTGCCGCTCCCCGCCCCGCGGTGCGCCATCTTCCCAGGTGGCGTGCAGCCTCCGAAGTGCTCGCGCCCCATGACCGTGTGCCGCCGCCCGCCCGCCCACTGGCTCTGCCCCCCCTCGGCAGCGCCACTCTTTGACCCACCGCCCCTCGCCTAGTGAGCCGCCCGCTGGGCCGTCCCTGCTGGTGCTGGCTCCCGCAGCCCTAGCGCTTTACAGGGGGTCTCGCCCCTGTCTGCAGCTTGTGCTGCCCCGCTTGGGGGTCACCGTCGTTGCGGCTCACCTCCCGTTTTTGCCTCCCCGCCCCAAGCCTTGCCCGTGACGCGGCACGGCCTCTTCGGGCGTGTGGGGTGCCACATTATTCTTCTGCCCCCCGGTGGCCGCCTTCCTCGGCGCCCCCTCTGATGGCCCCCGACGGACCCGTCCCTCTCTTACCCATCGTGGGAGCCCCCCCCGTGCGTCACTTGCACTGGGCACCGCCTACTCCCAAGCTGTGATGCCGTGCGCCGGCTTTGGGGTGGCGTTCGTTTCTCCACCAATTGCCCCTGCCCCTGCCCCAGCACCCGCCCCCGCGGCTTGCTACCGGCCGCCCAGCGGCCGCGCCACTGGCCAGCCCGTGCTCTCCGCCTGGGGCCGCCTCGCAGCTGCTGCCTCCCCCCCGCCTGGCGCCCCGGCTCTCCGGCCGCCCGCTGCTCCATCTCCCCGCTTGCCAGGCTTCGCCCGCACTGCGGCTGCTGGCCCACCCCTGAGTGCCTCGCGATGCCGCCCCGCGACGGCTGCCAGGGGCTGCGCTTCAGCCTGGCCGCCGCCGCCCGCACGCCGCAGCCCTGCTGCGTGAGTGTCCCCCGCGCCCGGCCCCCCTCCCGCGTCCGCCTCCCTCGCCTTTTCTTGCATGCGGGTAATCCGCGACTCCGTGCCCCAGTCTCGCCCGGACGCGCGTGTGGATTGCCTCTGCCGCGCTGCGACGTAAAGAGTGCGCGCTTGCACGCGCAAAGAAAACAGAGTAAAACTCTTTGGAGGGGACTGCTCTGGTCTTTCGCAACGTGTAGCTGGGGAACGGGCCCTTTGAGAAACAATTCTGGCCGAGCTATGCCCTGGGTGTGCATTAAATGTGCTCATTGTCTCCAGCGTGCCCAATGCACGTCTTAACAAAGACATCAGCGTTGTCTTGATTCTGTCGGGAGCAAATGAAAAGCCTGTCGGAAGCCTCGCAGCAATCTCAAAAACCTGTCGCTTACTGAAAATATCTCATAAACCTCTTTGAGGCCTCTTGAAATCCTCTCAGAATCTAGGTTACATACACTTGAATGTTGTCTCAGCGATGCGTGAAACATTATATACCACACTGTGTCAACGAGCAATTGGACTGGCCAACCATACGAGGGCGCACGAAACGGAAGGGCGCGTTGTTTGTGCTGCGCCAAAGCCAGCACGCATGGCCTTCTGAATGCACTGTACAACTGATGCCTCACACCTAGATGGGCGGTGCCATTAATAAGTATCACGTGCGACTTGAGGAATTAGTGCGTAAGTCCTTCGCTTGATTTTGTCATGTCTGCCTTATGGTGTAGACGTGCGCAACAGAACTGTGCCTCCACATGTATAATGTGTGAGCATCAGTTCGTGTGTCCTACTTCGATCTAAAGTATGACAGTATCTTCGTATGCATGTTTGCCATGTTGTGGGTGTTTGGTGTTTCGTGTGTGGTGTTTGGGGGGTGGGGTTGGGCGTTTAGTGCTCATGTTTGGTGGTTGATGTACCATGTTAGGCGCCTGGTGTTCAACGATTGTTGCTTGGTGTTGCGCATGCCGTGTTTGGTGTTTTGCGGTAGGCGCTTGGTGCTTGGTGTTTGGTATTTGGTGTTTAGTGTTTGGGATCCGCGGGTTGGTGTCGTGTGTGGCGCATGGCGTGTGATGGTTTGAGGGATGGAAGGTGAAGCGGTGTTGTCTTGTGTGTTGGTGCTGGGTGTTGGTGCTTGGGGTTTGGTGTTTGGTGAGTGGGGGAGGTCCCTGCAAGCCCTGGAGGCTCCCCAGAGGCCCTTTGACATCCCCTGGACTTCCACGGGAAAGCCCTGCAGGGCCCCTGACACGGGTTGGCGGTGCCACGGCGTCCTCCATCCTCGACAGTCCTCCTGCGACGGAGGCTTCTGGGCATGGCCTGGCGTTGCAACAGCGTCCCCCACCGAGCTCTTCGGTCTTCTTGCGGGAGCCTGGAGGCTCCCTGAAGCTTCCAGCAAGCTAAGCGCTGACAGTGTTACCATTTCGCTCCAAGGAAAGCTGTGCGAGCAAGCAATTCTGAACTCGCACGCGACGCACAACGCACGGTATGAGCGATACGTGTCCCCATTTCACTGGACAGTCCAGGGTCAGGAAGAAAGAGAACATTTAAGTGGTCTCCAAAGGAGGCCTTAGGTGCACTCTCACATCGCGTATGCCCAATTCCGCTCCTGGGCAGTCCATACGCATTCGGTGCTATTCACCCTACGCCACCGCTTTCCTGCGCCGATGCGGACCTCCCGAGCCGGGTTCCCGCACACGCCTGCGGCTTCTCCGCATCGCTCTGCATGTAGAGCTTGTCTCGGCTCCACACGTCTGAGAAGGAGGGGAAGACGGGAGGGGGAGGAGGGAGGGAATGGGATGGGAGGGTGAAGGGAGGGAATTGGAACGAGATGGGGGGGAGACTAGGAAGAGGAATGGGGAGACGCAATCGGTGGAGAGGGAAGAATCGGGAAAACGGCTGCGGGGCGGGAAGAGGACACATGCGGAAATGAGGCACACTCGCAGCACATCTAGCATCCCACCCCTTTCGAGCGCTCCCTTTTCACTGCTCTCAGTCCTGTATTTTCAAAGAGTCTCCTGTGGAGGAGAATCGGAAACTATGGATGGCATGTGTCAGGCTCGAGCTTGTCGTCTATCACATGTGGGGCGAGGGAGGTACGACGGGGCGAGCGTGCATTTAGTGAGGTCGCGCAACTTTTGACTTTGTGGTCATAGTCCTGGGGGACGCTCAGCGCGGTCGAAGAGGCAAATAGTGCGCAACTCTTGACACGAGAACCATACACTATTCGGATTCCCCTGCCAGTATGTATGTATGTGTGTATGTATGTGTGTGTATGTATGTATAGATGTATGTATGTATGTATGCATGTATGTATGTATGTATGTATGTACGTATGTATGTATGTATGTATGTATGTTCGCATGTCTGTATGTGTGTATGTGTGTATGTATGTGTGTGTGCATGTATGTATGTATGCATGCATTCATGTATGTATGTGTGTATGTGTGTATGTGTGTATGTGCGTATGTATGTGTGCATGTATATATGCATGCATGCATGTTTATTTGAATGTATGTAAGTATGTATGTATGCATGCATGCATGTATGTATGTGTGTAGGTAAGGGTGTACAAGTGTGCGCGTGCGAGAATGTGTGCATGCATGCATGCATGCAATCATGTAGTTATGCGTGTATGCATGTATGTATGTATGTTTGTATGTATGTATGGGTGTATGTATGTATGTGTGTATGCATGCATGTGTGTATGTATGTGTGTAGGTGTGCAAGTATATATGCATGGATGCATGTTTACTTGCATGTATGTAAGTATGTATGTATGTAGGTATGCGTGCATGCATGCATGCATGTATGTATGTATGTATGTGTGTAGCTAAGGATGTGCAATTGTGCGCGTGCGAGAATGTGTGCATGCATGCATGCACGCACGTATGTAGCTATGCGTGTATGCATGTGTGTATGTATGTATGTATGTATGTATGCATGTATGTATGTATGCATGCATGTATGTATGTATGTATGTATGTATGTATGTATGCTTGCATGCATGTCTGTAGGTGTGTGTATGTATGCATACATAGATATACATCTATGTATGTGTAAATGTATGTATGCATGCATGCATGTAGTTATGTATGTATTCATGCATGCATGCATATATGTATGTATGTAAGTATGTAAAAGTAAGTGTGCATGTATGTATGTATGTGTTTATGTGTGTATGTATGTATGCATGCATGTATATATATATGTGTATATAAGTGTATATGTATGTATGTATGTATGTATGCATGCATGCATGCATGTATGTATGTATGTATGTATGTATGTATGTGTATGTATTATGTATGTGTGTATGTATATATGTACGTAGGTATGTACGTAGGAAGGTAGGTCGGTAGGCAAGTAGATAGGTAGGTAGGTCGGTATGTATGTATGCATGCATGCATGCATGTGAATGTGGGTATGTATGTATATGTATGTCTGCATGTCTGTATGTATGTCTCCTTCCACCCCACGGATGCGCTCTGCTCGCTGGAAGAAGCCCACTGGGAAACCGCAGCGCGCAGCCGGCTGCACCTCGAGCGGCCCGCCTGCGGCCGCAGCGAGCTCGCGGGGGCGGTGGCGACCTTCTGCTTGCGCAACGCGAACGGGCAGCCCTGCGGGCGCCCCCTGGACAGCCGAGGCTACTACGGTGCCACCTGCCAGAACGGCGGCGGCGGCGGCGGCGGCGTGCGCAGGCACGCGCGGCTCGCGCGCCGGCTTGGAGGACTGCTGCGAAGGTGGCGACACGAACAGCCTCTCTTCGAACAGCGCGTCCCCGAGTGGGACAGGCAGCCGCCGGGCCGGGAAACGGAGCGCGCGGTGCTCGACCTAGAGTACCAGGACGACGACGGGCGGCGCTGGCTTGACGTCACGGTCTGGCACCCGGCTGCGGGGACACAGGCCGAAGTCCGCGTGGCAGCTCGCCGGGATGGCGAGGCCAGCAGGAGGGAAGAACGCGACAAGCATTCGCGTTACCCAAGCGAACGCGTGGTCCCCTTCGCCCTGGAGATCGGAGGGAGACCGGGCGAAGAGGCCCGCCTCTGGCTGAAGGCCGAAGTGAACAGGCAGGACGAGCAGGACCAGCAGCGCGAGCTGGCTCGCGCCCGCCGGGTGCTCAGCTGCGGGCTGCAGAGCGAGCTTGCGCGCCAGCTGCGCTCCTCGGCGGGCCTCCGCTGAGGCGCCCGCGGCGAGCGGCGCGCAGCGGCGCAGGAGACGACGGCCCCGCGCGCCGCCGCGGGCCTGCGCTGGCGCGCCCGAGGGCTTCTGGCGACAGCGCCCGAGGCCGCCGCGCTGCGGGCGCCGCAGCGTCAGCCGCAGTGGCGCCAAAAGCTGCAGCGCAGGCGGCGAGTCAGCACGGGCCCCTCGCCGCTGGGCTGGCGCGCAGGCTCGGGGCGGCGCGGGATTCACGACGGCCGCTGGCCACGGCGCGCGCTGCCGGGCGGCGCAGCGCAGGGCGCGACGGGCCTACCTAACGACACAATGCTACGCGACGGGGCGCGGCGGGCCTTCTGCCTGGCAACCTCGCTATTCCCTTCCTCTTATCCTTCCTTTTTTCGGCCCTGGACAGCGGCGCGCTCCTCCGCGTCATTGCCCTCGTTCCCCAGGCGCGGCTGGGGCGCGCCCTCGAGGCGTGACTGGGGGGCGCCTCAGCGACGTGGGAGCCCGAGAGAGAGAGAGAGAGAATGTCTGTCAGTCTGTTTGTCTGTCTGTCTGTCTGTCTGTCTGTCTGTCTGTCTGTCTGTCTGTATGCATGTATGTATGCATGCATGCATGCATGTTTGTATGCATGCAAGTACGTATGTATGTATGTTTGTATGTACGTATGGATGCATGTATGTATGCACGTATGAATGTATGTGTGTATGTGTGTACGTATGTATGTATGTATGTATGTATGTATGTATGTATGTATGTATGTATGTATGTATGTGTGTATGTACGTATGTATGCATGCAAATACGCGTGGGTGTATGCATGTATGTATGTATGTATGCATGCATGCATGCATTCATGTATGTTTGTGTGTATGTGTATGTGTGTATGTAGGTAGATGTGTATGCTTGTATGTATGTATGTATGTATGTATGTATGTATGTATGTATGTATGTATGTATGTATGTATGTATGTGCATACATATATGTATATATGTATATACAAACATCGGCCCTACGAACGTCTTGACCCGTTTCGTACTTCCACCAACACACGTCTTAGGTGGGAACGCCATTGCGAGTTCGCGCTGAAGAAGTGCCGACTTCTATATTCAAGGAAGTCCTGGGCGGGAGCGCCATTTCGAAATCGAGCCAAATGGTGTCGAATTCTAATTTTCAGGACGCCCTGGGGGGAACGACATTTCGAAATCGAATCCGGAAGGCTCCGAATTTTGTTTCGGGGGACTTCTGGGCGGGAGCGCTATTTCGAAATCGAACTAAGAAGGCTTCAAATTCTAGTTTGGACGAAGCCTTGGGTGGGAGCGCCATTTCGAAATCGGACCCGAAAGTTTCGAAATCGTTCGAAAGTGTTTTTTTCGAGGACGGTTTAAGCGAAATCGCCGTTTCAAAATAGCCACACCGTTTGGCACTTGAAATTTCAAATTTCTGAACAGAGATTTCGAAAGTGTTGTTTTCGCTTGAGGCTTCCTCAACAAAACGGTCTCCACTGGACTCGAAACCATCGGATTCGAATTCGAAAAGGCGGTTCCGCCCGAGACTTGAGCAAAACAATGCTTGAACAGAACAGTGTACCGAGGCCCTGCGGCCTAACAGGCCCCGTTTGACGTCTCCTCTTTTGTCGCGGGCGCAACGCCACTGACAACGGTGTACCGGGGCCCCGTGGCATTACGGGAGGCGCTGCACTTTGGCTGAACTTTCGTAGCGGCGAAGTATATAGTTGTGTATATAAATATGTATACTTACATATATATATATATGTGTATACGTATGTATATACATACATACACACATATATATATATATATACACACCAGACTACAGTGGCGCTTCGCGCCATGCACTCTGGTCCTTGAAGTTTGGCATGCAAGCGGAATGGCAGGAAAGTCAAGCCGACAATTTAGCGATAACTCCTTGTTGCCTTTTCCGGCATCGCCGTTATAATAATGCTATTCGTTATCCTTCTTCCATGCTTCTTTTTCATCATTCTCGCCATACCCTGCGCATTCTCCCCATCCTCCTCAGCTCTTTTTGCGGGGGCTCCTCCTTGGAGAGCCTCTAGGGGCCTCACAAAAGGTTTTCACGCTTTCTTAAGGCCTTCTGGAGGCCTCCTGGGCGTGTTCTGGGGGCCTCTGGGGGCTTCCTCGGGCCACCCTGCCTCCAACCGCGGTCTCCCTGAACGACCGGGTCACGATTTGGAATACTTCGGAGGGTCTCGTGGGGCCATCTTGGGCCGCCATGGGGCTCTCTCAGGGCCATCTTGGAACCCTGTTGTGCCGTTCTGGGGCTCTCTTGGACTGCCTGGAAGCCCTTTCGGATGGTCGTGGGGTGATTTTGGAGCCTCCCAGGCGGCTTCGGACGCCCAGAAGACCGCCGTCTTGGAGCGTCGGGAGGCCGAAGAGAGGAGAACCCCAAGATTCACCAAGCATCATCAGAAAATCAATGATTTTTGCCTCTTGGGGCCTTCTTGGGAGTGCTCTTGGAGGCCTCTTGGGACGTTTCGGAGCGATCTTTGGGAGTATGACGGCTTCTTCGGGGTCGTCGTGGACCGTATTGGGGCTCTCTGGGGTCGTTTCGG